CTAATAAATGGCTTTTTTGTTTGTTTGTTTGTTTGTTTTTTCCCAGCAAACGCAGTAACCCAATGGGAACTTTTATATGAGGACTTTTATGAAAGTATAGATGTTTCTACTTCTGTCTTGCTGGAGAGTGCTCTCAGATTCAAGACAGACTTCCTGGTTAGGCACAGAGGAACTATGACTATTTTAGTGTTCCGGCACTGGCAGACAAACAAACACACACAAAAAAGCAGGAAGACGCAATCGCAGCACTCAATCATATACAGGATATCCAGATTTAAGTCCTTGGCCTCCCTGCTCTATGTCTGGACATAATGGGAATAAAGAAATACCCCATTTGCAGCTCTAGAGAGTTGACCATTTCCATAAAAAGTTGTATAAAATTCTTTTACAATTGGAGTCTTATAGATACCGTCAGCCTGTTTTCAGCTTAAAGAACATCAGGCATTACATCCCGCTGAAGAACATCTTAAATATCCAACCTTTAGCAGAACAGAATGAAAGCTTCCCACCTGGTTTTACTCACAGTATTGGGAACAGTCTGCAAAAGGTGAGAAAACAGCCCTTCACCACAGGCTGAGGAGCCTTAGCAGCACCTCATCTTTCCCAGATGACGTATAGTTATGGATGACTGTCACTCAGGTAAAGAGTATTTGGCATTAATATGGAGACAATGCAGCCAAATTTATTCTCATTATGTCCTTCTATTGAATTGTGAATTTTCACTATTTCATTCTAATAACAATAATATATATTTATATATAGAACTATAAATAGGAAGCAAAATGGGAAGTCCCTTCCTGATTCCAGAACTGTACTGCAATGGAGCCATGCTGCAAGTCTTATCACTGTACATAAACCCATTTTGGCAGACTCAGTTCATTACAGAACAGAGTTTAGGTCTCAGATCTGTTGTGGAAGGCAACTTTGGATTACTGGAATGAATCACTGACAAGCATATTCAACGTGAGGAAATACACCCTATATTTTCTAACAGTTTCCAAATAGAAATCGTATGAGGGATACTGCCATGTATCAGAAGAGCAAAGAAGCAGCATGTTCAGACAAGAAAGAGCAGACTCAGAAGCCTGTTGGACACCTATCACCCCACTCTGCCTACCTTAGGCTGAGGCTCCTCAGGTATCCTGCAGTACACAAAGATGCCTCCCCTTGTGGAATAACCCTGATCAAAACTTATCAAATCCTTGCTAAAGACTAAGGTTTTACTTGCAAGATCAGAAGATGATTTTCAAGTAAATAAATGAACAGCCAGAGATGTTATCTCCTAATAAACTAATAGCATAAGCACTGAGTACCATAACAGAATTCTGGTCGAACAAACAGGTTGCCCAGAGATATTCAGGACCTTTCTGGACTCCTACCTGTGTGACCTATTGCAGGGTACCTGCTTTAGCAGAGGGCTGGACTCAATGGTCTCTTAAGGTCCCTTCCAACCCCTGCAATTCTGCGATAAGCAAACATCCTTCAAGCATTAAATACCCAATTCAAATTACTTTGTCAGCATGAAGACAACTTGTCTACAGTGTAATGCAGTTCCTGACTCTGGGAATTGCAAGCTTTACACTCCTAGCTGCAGAGTCTGCAGTCCACATCATGTCCTTTTTGTCTAGATGGGTTTGGATAACTACACTCCATTACAGCAGTCAATTAAAAACATAATTGTAACTTCCAGTCATAATCAAATTTCCTTATGTTAAGTATCAATTTTGAAGCACTTTCCAGATAATTCTTGTAACCAAGGAAGCCTCTGCAGCTATCCCCCTCTCCCTGCTAACATATATATTCAATAAAAATGTATTCAAAGAAAAATACAAGGGAGTTTTTAATCAATCTTAGAAAAAAAAATATTTTTAGAGTAATGTATTTTGAAAGAAAGATTACATATGGTGTGTTTCTGGCTTTCTTAAATAGTTCCTAAGTACTTAAATTTGCTCTGAGGTAAGGGAATTAACTAGCACAAACTTGTCACTGCCTAATTTAGCTGTGCACGAATGGAATGTCCAAACAGCAATAAGCAAAGATGTTGCATAAGCATAATAAATGAAGTAAATAAAGGTTAATCCCTTTTTCCTTTTTCTATCAGATGTAGTGTTTTTTTTTTTTAATCAAACAGTGGCAGAGGAAGCTCTATTACTGACCTTAACAATACTTTACATCACATTTCTCAAACAATATACAGATTCAGATGATTATTGCTGAAGCCATTTAACATAAACTTAATTGTATAGCTTTTATATACATTCTTAAGCTGTCCCTTTTGCAAAGATGCAGATTTACCATTATTTTTATCTTTTTTAAACACTAGGATTGATACAAATAATCTTGTGCAAGTAATTTGTCCAAAAACAAAGAAAACCACCTTGACAAGACTAAAGTTTGGATTTATAGTAAAAGTTGAACACCTTCAAATAAAAAAAAAAACTACTCAACTTTCAACTTACGAAAAAAATAGCAAGTGATTTGATCTGCCATCCCAGTTCAGAATTTTAGAATACCTATACAGCAGCAATGAAGGTTTGAACAGTTGCAGGAGTCCTGTAATTAGCACACCAGGGGAGTCTCATCCTCACTACAAACTGTGGTAATTCACCTATTTGTCCATTGTCTGAAGGCATGGAAGGATGCTGCTCTTTATTTCTAAGCAGACACCACGAGTGGCTGGTGCTTATGCATTCCATGAAAACACTGACCGTTATAAACCATATATATAAACCTACATCTCTTCTTTCTTTAATTCTGGTATGTGTTTGGCCCTAAAACTCTCACTTGCTTCCCATCTGCAAAAGGAGTTGTGAGAACTACCTACAAAGTGAATTAAAGTGTATTTTAGTGTAACTGTTACAATTCACTGATTAAAATTCACTGATATTCCCTCTGGAAACACACCTTTAAAAAAGAATTATCACAAGTGAAGTAAAACAATAGTTTAATTCTGATAATTTCTGAGAAAGCTTTTGAAATGACAAGGAAAACGCACGCTGACACAAGATCATGCAGAGCAGCATCTTGAGCAGAGAATCATCTTATGTTAATAGGTTTCATGCCAGCACATTAAGGAGCAAAAAGCATGTGATACACATAGTTCTACATGTCATTAAGAGCTTTGAATTCTGGAATCATACTGAACTACGTAACCCTGGATTTTTGTCAGAGTGCCCCAACACTGACATACTACATGAAGTTACAGCTGCTGCCATGATTACTGCTTGTCTTTAAACACTGGCAGCTCCTGCCCAAGTGGAAATATTGATTCCTTATGGATGACTCCTCCTCCACAGCACTACATTTCTTTGGAGATGGATTAACTGATAAAGACAGTTTCACAGTAACCGTCACTAAACAAAACAGAGTTAAACTCAGAGTCCTGGCAGCACGGATTAGGACGAGCACAGGAAAAGCATTATGCCAGCAATAACCTCAGCAACATCTCAAGCATAAATAAAACTGTTAACAATGCTGTCCAAAAACTAACCCATTAAAAGCTGATTTCACAACTCTGCTTCTCACGTTCTCTACTTCCTAGGTAGTATCTAGTAATAGACCTCGGTCTATGGCAGTGCCTAAGCTAGAGAGAAAGTAATTTTAACGTAGGACGATGATTTCTAAATTCCTGAAGATTTATAGATGAACAACAATAAGATAAACTCCCCTTCACATTTGAAAGTTTTCATACAGCTATATGAACAAGTAGTAAAATGCCCTTTAAGTAATAACACTTATTACTAATACACATATGCTAATACATGCTTTCTAATATATACTGTTGTAAATATACATATATATATTTATATACATACAAATACATACATGAGAAACAGACCAGAAATGATGAGAAGACTTCAAAAGTCACTTTCTATGCAGTACTTTCTGTACTATCAACTTTATCAAAATAAGAATGGCTATCCTGAGTTCAACGACGGGTCCAAATAATCACATCTCAACAAATAACAACTCTGGGAAGAGCAAGATCAGGACAAGCATATATGATATTATTCCTAAGAAGTCTCTTAGCATCCAACCAGACAAATCTTTTCAAGATCTAAAATATACAGACATCAAAAACTATTCAAAGATGCATTTACAAGAAATCAAATGGGAAGAAATAGCTACAGGCAATAGTCTCTTTTAGCAAGAAAGAATGCTGAAGATAGTGATAAAGTGTCTCCATAAATCCTGTCTTTGTTTCATCCAAAACCTGAACTGTACCAGCAGCCATACAGTTGCTGGTATACAGCAGCCAAGGGGCACCAAGAGGAACACTTTATTGAACTGGCTCCATTGCCCAGCATACACAACAATCTTCCATAAATTTCAACACTCTGACCACAGAGAGGTTTAGCCATGTATGTTTCCCTTCTGCTTCCTATGAGGACACACACTGGCTGAGCACCATGCTGAGGACTTGGAGCTAGAGAACTGCAGCATCAGGTGGTCCCTCAGCTACGCCCCTCAGCAGACATTGCTGCGATGTAACACGCCCTGTGAAAGTAACACATGCCCCAACAGCTCACTCCTCTCTCAATTCAGACTCCAATCTTGTCCAGACATTTGAGATGCTGGCCTGAACATCCTCTCCACACCACAAGCTTTGCTCGTTTGATCTCTACAGGGCACCACATGCAGGAGGGCTTGGGGTCAATGAAGTACAAGACAAAGGTGTGATGATATGGTCCACACTAAGTTGCCTTAGAAAATGTTTATTTGCAGATAGGGACTGTAAAGACCAATCAGTCTCCCAGTTACTTCCTGCTATGCTGTTGCAACACCAGAAAGCAATATTCAAGAACAAAACAGAGCAGATTGGAAGTTCATGTTTCAGTGGGGCACAGTTGAGTATTTCCACGAGAAAGTTCCAAGTTCATATGGGGCAAATGAGCAAAAAAAAAAAAAAAGAAAAAAAAACAACCCTCAAAATACATTTGAAAATAAAGCTGCATTGTTACAATGGAAATTATTTGCAAACCAAAAATTATTTGAGTTACCTTCTGGGGGTGGGGGAGGGAATTCCTCTGTGTCCATCCCAGTGTATCCACCACACCTTCAGCTGACTGAAAAACCCTGCAAAAATGAAGGGAACATTTTTGTACATGAATATCATTTCCAACTATACAGACACTCCTTTTCAATTTGGCCATGCTCATAGCTAATAATACGATGGAAGAGAGGAGATGTGCCTGGCTTCTTGCTTCAGAACACATCTAGTCCAAATTTTTACGTACATAGTTCTCAGTACTTGAGCCAGAAAGTGCAGTGACCTCAATAAGCCAGATGAATAAAGTTGAAGTTTTCAAACTATTTGGTACTCTGCAGCTCCCACTGTGACAATTACAAACAGATTATTAAAACATGCTATGTTGGTGTCTGTTTGGTGTACACATTCTGCTTCAAAATCATCCTGAGGATAATGCCAGAAAAATCCTAGGAAGATCAGAAGTTTTTATGATGCTTTTCTCCATTTGGGAATAAGAAATCCCAATTTTTAACTTTGGGTTGGGAGAAAGGGCTTTAATCTTAAAAATGTTGCCTGAGCCATTCTAATCCCACCTCTTCTGAAGAAAGCTGAAACACTTGTGAGCACTCCCCATGCACACCTTCTCTTTTCTCCAGTGGAGTATGGCTGTTTTGGAAAAGATAAACCTACAAAACACTCCTGTACTTTGCTCCTGAATACACACTAAGAGGGAGCGTACATTTTCCTTCCTTCCTCCAAGTGGTATTTAATAAGAATACTCCAATGTCATCCAGAAGGACAAACTGGCACACAACGCCCCCAAACCATTTTTGCTTTAAGTGGAAAGGTAGCATATAAGGGTAGCATAAGTTTTTGTCCTACTCCTGAGTCATCTATCGATGTTTATCTCAAGGAGTCAGTGTTTCTGCACACAAAACAGCTGAAGTGCTTGGAAAATTTCTGTAGCCAAATTATGGAAAGGTTAAGTTGAAGGAGATAGTGAAATTCAGGAATAGTAGAGAAATAATAAGCTAGATGAATTAGAGTATGGAGGCAAAATGAATTGCCAAGTACAGAAAAGGTGGCAGCAGCTGAAAGGATTGCCTCAAAATGCAACCCAGCCTTAGAAGGTAATCAAGTCCCTCTATGAAAACAAGTAACTTTGGAGCCAGGAAAGGATTCATGCACATACACAACATGTCAGTCACATACAAAATACTCCACTGAGTGCTTATACTACACAGCATGCCACCAAAATCCTCTCTCATTGCATGTTCTATCTACAGAGCTTAAAGGTTGTTCCTACTTACAAAGTTCTGGAATGCATTTTGCCTGAAACAGTCAGGCAAAATATGGGAAAAATATGGTTTGAAGAGAAGGGTATTTTTCTTAATTCTTTTATTTCTTTATTCTTTTAAAGAATAGATCATTCTTTACAACCATCTCTGAAACACATATTTTCAAATCTGAAACGTGTTGGCAAAGCTCTGGAAGTTAGTCTCAGCACCTCTGCCAAATGCATCTTTAGGAAGGCATCGTAAAGGCCCTCTTATTTTTTTTTTTTTATTATTTATTTCAATTTTAAACAGGATGTCAGTTTTTAAACACATGTGGAACTTGCTTCAACAGTGATTTTAAAAATACTCTTCTTCCCAACAAGCAACCCTTACAATAAGCATATATAGAACTGTGGAAGCTTTCAACTTGTTTTCTGTTTTGATCTAGCTCAGTGACATGCTTCAAATTACACAGGAATTGTGTAGAGGAAGGACACAGCCCCAGTGTTAGAGCCCTAACTGCTGACCTGCTTTCTCTGATAGGAACAGTGTGGTTATTCACAAGAAGAAAGATGTACTTTCTTACTTAAGAATGCCTTATGAGTTGACTTATACATTGCATTAATTCAAGTTCCACAGATTTTTCTATGCATTTACATGCCGAGATAAATGTTCCAGTGGCAAAGAGAGCTTGTGTGCTGTGAATTTTGGTAATACTCCTCATAAAGATAAAATAATCCAAATTTTATGTGCCAGAAATAACCACACCAGTGTTCATGGAACATTCTCCAGCAGCACCATACATAAAAATCTTTTACTCTTCTGTTGAGAGATCAGGGAGCTAACTGAAATCAAAGGGATTTAAATCAAGATTAAGCCAGGCAATTCATTTCAGCCAGGAGTACACAACTCATGTGGCATGTGTTTGCTGCAGTACTTTTTCCCTATTGATTCCAGCAGTTGTGACCACTAACAGAAGTCTCAAACTGTGCAGATACACAAGTTTAAGTGGTAATCACAGAAATCAAATATCAAATCAAGTTGGGAGGGACCACTGAAACTTCTCCCCTATACTCAAGACAGGTGTATTTATAAAATTAGATCAGGTTGCTTTCATCTCCGCACAAATTCTGAAAACCCTCCAAAAGATGGAGATTTCTTGCCCCTGCACCTCACTAAACACGTCAGGAAGAACTCTTCCACCACATCCAGCTGGGATTACCCTTGCAGCAGCCTGCGACCATCACCTCTCATTCTTTTGTTGTGCACCTCTGAACAAAGTCTGGCTCCATCCTCATTACAACTCCTCCTGAGAGAGCAGAGGACTGCAATTCAACCGCCTTAGTCCTTTCTTCTTACAACTGCACAAACTCTGCTGCTGCAGCATCTCCTGATCTTTTCCAATACCCCAGCCATGGCAGCCCTCACTGGCCTAGCTCCAGTTTGCCAGTTTCTCACTCATACTGGGTCCCAAACTTCACAGTATATACCAGATAGAATACCACCAGCATTGAGTAGACTTCACACAGTTTAACACAAGATCATTTAAGAAATTTACCTATGAGAATACCAAAAATATGTTTCAAAGTAGCGAATAGAAAACAAAAAATCTATTAAACATGAAACACAAGAGCTATTACATTCATGTGTATTACATTACAAAACTATCAATTTGAACAGCTTAAAAACAGGCTTGAAATACTGCAAATGAAAAAAAAAAAAACATTTTACCAATATACAATTTCTTTTTTCCTCATTCAAAATTGATTCCTCAAACACACGATTATCATTAATTAATGACATAAACAACTTCCAGGCTTCACAGCAATCACAGAAACACAAGTGCAGAAAGAACCTCCTGAAGTTCACTAACCCAAAGGTTAAGATTTCCCACTAGCTTCCAGCTTCCCATCTACTCAGTACTCCTTTCCTTCTTTCTCCAGGCTCTGGTGAAGAGTGGGTGTTGAGGACCATAGTGGTGGCCTACTGACAGTTTCCTTTTCATCTTTTTCCCCTTTGTGACCCAACATACAGCAGATACTAGGAATAAGACCAAGATACACCCAATCCTTTGACAAAGGCAGGCAACCCTTTTTGGCCAAAAGACTAACCATCACTTCCACTGTCTGCTTCCTGGTACTCTCACTTGGCCCCCTCCTGTCACACTATTAAGAGCAGTAGGCAACATTCATATTTACAGACTGAAAGTAGGAAAGGAGCTCTCCAACTTAACAAGCTCTCAGTTCAACTCTCCACTCCGAACACTCAGAAACTATTGTAGAAGCCCTAACACTTGTACAGTGAAGACCAGGGGCCTGGCACGTAAGACTGAAATTCTGCTTACACAGACAATGGCAATTTTAGCAAAGAAAATAAGACCTGTCTGAAGGCTACAAAAGAAAGCAGTACTCCTCTCTGTGACTCAGTTTCCCTCCCATGGCACTGCTGAAATTATTCCTGATAAGCTTTCCTACCTCCAGGACTAGAAGGTCTCTCAGATGAGGCTGCACATCAAAAATTTCCTCTAATTGTGCAATAAACAATAGACCACCAGTTTTCAGCTACCAGGACACAAATAACGATCAACATCTGCATTTCTACTCCATAAAAACTAGTTTCTAGAAGTCATTACTTACGCAATAGTCAGAAGGACCAAAGCAAACATCTCCAAAGCTATAAGGCAGCCCAGTGGTCAGAGCTAATGGCACAGTTATATATCCACTGAACTTGACAGAGACACGCACTGCCAAGATTTCCAATTCTAAAACCTAAGAACAGTAAAGGCTACATGTATTTTCTTTAAGGAAAGTGAATTGTAACTGCAGAGATACAAAGATTCTTCATTCTTAACAGTGCAGAAAAAAGGAGCAAGCTAGCATTTTTAAAATAAAAACCAGAAAAGATGAAACTAGGAGACTGATTTCTGAGGGACCCTGACTCAAAAAAGAAATCTTAGTGTAGCTAAGCTGCAAAGTAACTTCTCTGAGAAAGCCTGTGATACTTTTGTGTCCTTGTCAATACTCAATATAACTGTGTTTCGGAGGCACAGAGCAGCAAGAACAGAAAATAACACAGGAGGAGGAAGGTTAATTTTTGTGTGTTTACTTTTCCATATGTATAAACATAAAGCCTAATTTGTGGCTCAGAAACAGTCAAGGGAAATTTTCTTACCAGCCACAATGCAAACATGGTCAGATTTGCAGATGCACATTTTTCAGAGCACAAACAAAATCCACTTGTCTGCTGACTTCTCCCACCACACTTTCTCACACCAAGCAGCATTCTGCTCAAAGCTAGAGAACAGCATGGCAGCGAGCACTGAACAAGAATCAATCCACAGGGACACTCTGAGAACACAGCTGAAGATTGGTATTCTCTTTCTCCTTGTCTTAGAGAACATCACTTACAACATTCTTAACCTAGACTGAATTCCTGCTACGTACATCATCAGAAGAAAGGGAAAAGAAGACAGCGAGGATTCCATTTGCAGATTTTTCTGAAAACTCCTTCTTTCTCCTAGAGAAAAATACTGTTCTTGTACCTAGATAGAAGTCTGATAATTTGAGATTTATGATCACTGTCTGCAATCCTGCTTTGGACCTGCAGTTGGGGGTGAGCTGCCAGGAAGACCTCCCAGTGTCACTCTTCCCCAGGCTGAACAACCACAGCTCCCTCCAGCCACTCCTCACACAGCAGCATCACAGCCTACCATTATCATTGCAGTCTTGTGCTTGGCTTGCTTCACTTTATCCACATCTTTCTTGTATCAGGGCAGGGTGAGCCGGGGACAGAACACTGGGTGCAGTATTTTAGGTGTGGTTTGACAAGCA